TTTCTATTTTTCAAATTCCCATTTGGGGGGTGAGTCATAATGACTCGGGTTTAAGAGAAACCCGGGAAACTGCAGGTGGGGGTGGGAATCCTGGCGGCCGGGTCCTCGGGGTCAGTGCAGCCGCTCAGCTTCTGCCCCGGCCAGGCTCTCCCAGCAAGCTGGCTCTCCAGGCCTCTGTGTTTCCTTTCCAAGGGGTCAGCCAGCAATCACCTGTTCTAGTAACCAAACAGAGATTTCATACATGCTTTCTAAGCAACAGAACAATGTTTCAGAAGAGCTAACTTTTAAGAATGACCACTGGTGTCTTGATGAGCCTACTTCCAAGAACAGACAGGTCCAACTAAAGTCTGTCCTGAGACCAGAGGCTCATATGGCAAAGTCCCCTCAGCTAGGACAGGAGATTTGGAGTATTCACTGTTGCTCTTGGAACCCCAAATAACCTCAGGGTGTCCTGGTTTGACATTGACTCTGGAAATTTATTTGACATTTATCTGCATTTCCTCTATTCAGCTTACGTCATTTAAGGGGAGCGGTAAGAGGACAACTTAAAAATATCTCCTGATCCCATGATTAATTATGTAATGCCCATTTTATTGAAGGCACTCTGGGGGGTTTGTTTTGACAAAATTGTGCATTTGGGGGTCAATGCATAAACAATAGCAGTCAGGGGAGCAGGTACAGACAAGGGACTAGCACATTTTCTCTCTAAAGGGCAGGATAGAACACATTTTAGGTCTTGCAGGCCAAGAGGCAAAATCAAAGATATAGTGTAGGTACTGATAGAATAATGGAGAAAACATTTTTCCACATTTTTTAATGAAATTCAAAATTGATTATAATTTGTTTTGAAAATACAAATCTATTAATGAGAGGAATTGATTCTTTTTTGAAATAAAAAGATTGGAAATTTGCATCATTGGGTTGAAAATAGTGTTTTTAATATTACATTGATTACACATGTCTTGGCTCATGGGCAATTCAAAAATAGGCAGTGCACAGGATTTGGCCTATGGGCCATAGATCCAAACCAACTTCTAGTATAGAAAACATGGTTTCAGCCGAAACCAGTTTGGCTCATTGGATAGAGCGCTGGCCTGCAGACTGAAGAGTCCTGGGTTTGATTCCGGTCAGGGGCATGTACCTTGGTTGCCAGCACATCCCCAGTGGGGCATGTGCAGGGGGCAGCCGATGGATGTTTCTAACTCTCTATCTCTCTCCCTTCCTCTCTATAAAGTATCAATAAAATATATTTTTAACAAAAAGTAAAAAGAAAACATGGTTTTAATATTTAAGTGCCCTAGGGTGTTCTGGCTAAAGTTACAAGGAGAGGATAAACATAAAGAAAGAAAGAAGCATGAGTATTGGAAGAGCTACATTAACATTTGCAATAATATGACAAAATACCTATAAAACCAACAGAATCTACAAAGTATTGGACCTATTTCATTATAACTATAAAAAATGTCATCAAAATTGTAAAGACATTAGCTTGCAGAAATCAATAGTAAGTTACTGGTCTATTTGGTATAAATTGGTATATTTCTCTATACCAGCAAAAATTCATGATCATAACTAATGATCAGAAAAACAACCTTTTCCCACAAAGATGGAGCCCAACATGAAGAAGGAAGCCCCTGCCCCTCCCAAAGCCAAAGCCAAAACAAAGGCTTTGAAGGCAAAGAAAGCATCCACAGCCATAAAAGAGATCTGTAAGTTACCTACCTTTGATGGCCAAGGACACTGTGGCCCGGAAGGCAAACTAAATATCCTTGGAAAAGCACTCCCAGGAGAAACAAGCTTGAACACTATGCCATCATTCATTCCCCTGACCACTGATGAAGAGGTAGAAGACAACAGTTCACCTGTGTTCATTGTGCATGTCAAGGCCAATAAGCACCAGATCAAACAGGCTGTGAAGAGCTCTATGACGTTGATATATCCAAGGTCAACACCCTGATCAGGCCAGATGGAGACAAGAGGCAAACATTTGACTCTCTCCCAACTATTATGCTTTGGATGTGGTCAATTAAATTGGGATCATCTAAACTGAGTCCAGCTGACTAATTCTAAATATAAAAACTTTATACAGTAAGACAAACAAACTGGTGAAAGTGATACCCTTGTAATAATATGGTTATTATTTAACAGGAAAGGAGTAAAGGAAAGACTAGATAATATAGACATGCCACTCTTTAAGTCTGTTCCCCACTCCCACTGGGGAAGGGGCTGGACAACAGATATTCCCAGTAAGTTCTGAGTGAGGTGGAAAGGTGCTTACCTGTCTGCCAATCACACCTGGGAACAGGTAATGGGCCATAATAGGTGTGGACACTGCAAGGACTTAAAAACCTGAATATTTAAACTTCTGCACAAGGGAAGTTCCCACTCATGGCTCTTGGACCCCTTGGGACTCCTGTTGCCCCACTTCCCTGCATCCCCCCACGTGGCCCTGTGGACGTCACACAATGTGGATTCCACACAATAATGGACTTTAAATAACCTGATGCTGGACTTGGCTGCAACATGAAACAGAAGCTCTGGACACTGGCCTTGCTTTTGGCTTTGCTGAACTCCCAGCTGCATCTTTTTCAGAACTCAATTAACGGGCAATGGACTTTACAACTGAGGGATGTAACACATGCCAATAAAACCCTTCGTTCTCCTCTGTGAATCTCAGAAAGTTCTCTTTCAGAAGATATCACAAGAGCCACCCCACACCTACTAGCGTTGGGAAAAATTGACCCCTAATTTCTCTGGTAACAAAAGTATACAGGAATTAACAAACAAGAATACACAAGAAGACGACCACGGAGAGAATTTTAAAACTTGAGAAAGGACATAGAAGATGATCTGAATACATTGACAGACATGGGGCTCATTTGGGTTTGGTACTAGGAGCCAAGTGTCAGACTTCAGACCTCAAAAACCGTAGTATAATAAACTTGTGCTGTTTTAAGCCACTAATTTTATGGCTATTTGTTCTGGCACACACAGGAAACTAGTACAGGACTCGTTTCTCCGTCCAGCTGTATGCCAAGAATAGAGTGTCCTCACAAGGCCACCATTTCCGGTACACTGGCAGAGTTAACTCTTGAAAAAAGTGGAGGCCTATATGATCTACTGAATAATTCCAATTCACACCTGTCTGCATTGGGGCCATTTTTTCTGTGGTGCTCTTTGCAATACGCTAGTTTCCCATTCTTGACCCAACTTCATTTGTTTTCAGATCCTAAGATTGTGTTGATGGGCAGTGTGATAAGAGTAGGGACTAATGAAAAAACAACTTAGCCTTTACATGTCATGGTGGAAAATCCCCCATTAGGACTTGCCTGTTACTTTGGCCTCCAGTCCCTGAGCAAAGTGCCCCATAGAGCAGTAGTGTAGCTCCCTTTGACGGCTGATTCCGCCATAACTTTTATCTTTTTTTCTTTTGAAAATAACCACTCTGTTCTGTTTCTGATTTATAGATGTCTTCGCTCCTTGCTTTTTTGTTGTTGATCCTCACCTGAGGATATTTTTCCATTGATTTTTAGAGAAAGTGGAAGGGAAGGGGAGATACAGAGAGAGAGAAACATCAATTGGTTGCCTCCCAAATATATTCTGACCAAGGCAGGGTATCAAACCTGTAACCAGGTATGTGCCCTTGACCGGAATCAAACCTGGGATGCTTCACTCAGTGGGCCAAACCGGCTAGGGCCACTCCTTGTTTTTGAGTGTTCTTAACATTTCATGCCTCATTTACAGGAAATGTTTGGAATTAAGGGGTAGGTTTCAGAGTAAGTTTAAGCTGCCCTCTTGATCCAGGAGCAGTTTAAACTTACTTATGTGTCTCCCTCTGGGCTGTAGTTTCCTGACATCTGACACTAGCCAGCCATCTCCCACCATCAAAGTGGCCCTCCTTGCATTGATTGTTATGGTTGTTAATGTTCCAAACTTTTCCAAGGACCTGCTAGGCCACGCCCTCTGGGCATTAGCTATTCTGTCCTTTAAATAACATTTGAAAATGACAGGTCCTGGCATGATTGGTTGGCTTTCTTCATGGCCTTCTGCATATGTCAGCAAACCAGGCCAAGTGCATAATTCTGGAGAAATAAGCCTGAACCTTACTTTTCCTTTTGACATGAAGGCAGAGTAAGATATGCGGAGTGTCACATCCCTTGAAAGCCTTCTGTCCTTAAGCTTATGTTCATAATGACTGAGTCATTCTTCTGCATGGCAAGCACCTCGCCATGTTGCTCTGTTCCAGCACCCACATGCAACTTTGACAGTTTTTACCATCGTACGTAAGGAAAGGATTATGACTTTCCTTTCTTCAAAGCCCAGAAGATCCCCCCTCAAGAGAGGTTAAAGCCCTTTAGACTCCTTAGTGATTCTTGACTGTACCAAGCACTGATGGCTAAAGATCTCTACTGCTCACATTTCATGGCATCTCACTTATACCATGCTCACAGCAGATAACAGTGCTGCTTGGAGGAGGTTTTCTGAGAGCAAGAAAAGATGATGCTCTGTGTCATAGAATGGATGATGTAGGGAACCTGGTATGTGGAGGTATGTCCTGAAACATGGCAAACCGGGATCAGCCTCAGCAGCAACTGTCTCTCAATACTCCCTTGAGAAACAGAATTCTAAAATCAGAGAATATTGTGAGGCAAGTCTCATAATTTGCTTTATTCACTAAGAATTAGGCCAAACAAAGGGGGAGCAGCATTACAGGAACAGAGACTGCTAGGGAGGGAAATCCTGAAATTCAGGAAGATTCTGAGAAGCTAGAGGACCATTCTGGATACAAAGTCAAGGACATTCCCTCATTCCCTTGCCATCAGCTCCATGTCTCTCTCACACACAAAGACAATCACATGACTGCAAGACTAATCATTTATTAATCAGGTTACAGGAGGTCTTATTCGTGGTAGAGTTCTGAGTATGGCAAACAGAGTCAGAAATTTGGAGGAAACCTTTGATTGTTCGAGAATTGTTGAGTCTCTCTAGACAATTAGAGAAGATTCAGAAATAATTCCTTCTTGGATGTTAGTGATGGAGATCAGGTCGCAGACTTTGTCACAGGCTGACACAGGAACCATAAAATGAAGATCCTGGAGCCCAGGTGAGGAAGCATTCACTCAGCACTAATCAAGCAGATGAGAGAGAACATAGAAATTCATTAAGCACTTCCTTAGTTGAATTGAAGACAAAGATAATTTTTATTACAGAGAAAAATGGTGAATAAAGAGATATCATTCTACCTGCACTATAACCTATGTTACTTGCTGAAATAAGGGAAGGAGGTCATTGAATCAATGGTTCATCCACATCAATGAAGGACCCTAGGCTGGTTTCTGCCATTCTCAGCATTAAATGTTTTGAGGGATTTTTGATAAATTGAGGAAGAATGGCCAAAACCATAGCTACCTTGTATTAAATGCTGACTTTATGCAGGCCATAGTTGCTAATACATTCCCACATATTATCTAAATAATGTAGGGAAGCTGGGATGTGGAGGCATGTCCTGAAACATGGTGAGCCAATATCAGCCTCAGCAAAAATTGTCTCTCAGTATTTCCTTGAGAAAGAGAATTCTAGATTGGGGCAAATCAGGGCAAAATAAAGCTAAGGTAGGAAACAGATGAGGAAAATCAGAGCCGATTTTTCAGATGAAAGACAACTAGAAGGTCAGACAGCTCTGTTTCCAGATTAGAGGCTAAGGATGTTCAGAGATCAAAGAGAGACAGTATTACCAAAATGTATTTGGGTTTCATGCTCACACCCTAGTATTCTTTTCCTATTTCAAATTCCAAAACTTAATGATTTTTAGGACTTTACTTTTCACCAGCAGGATATCCACACAGTAACTCTGTAAGGAACACGTTACTGTATGTCTTTTAATTGCATAGGTCATTTGCTCTCCAGCTCAGGGGACCCAAGACCCCCAACTCCAGATTTCAAGCTCATCCCACAAACTTCCTTGCCCAATTATTTTCATTGTAATTTTTGTTCACAAACCCCTAATGGTGTTGGAAGGCAGTGGTCCCTGGGCCACCCCCTCTCCATCAGACATCACCTACCTGGAGGCCTGGGCATCATGGCTCCCTAGGTAACAGCGATCTGCAGCGACAGAGTAGAGCATAGTCAAGCACCAACCCATTTATTTCTCAGCAGGAGATCAAATGATTTCTCAGGTCAGGAAAGAGGGGACTGGTTGGAGATGTTACCTTTTCTTGCATTTCTCCATCCAGGAATATGGGAATGTAAAAGGAGAAAACTAGAGATTGCTAAACTTACCGACTTCGGTCAAGTCCAGTATGTTTTCCTTAGGAATTCCATTTTTTTTGCAAAGTTTTCTAAACCTTTCCTTGAGTTTTGGGCTCACATCTGGTTTTCGGGCTGTGGGAAGAGTGATAATAACTGCTGTGTCTTGTGTCTTGGTCATTGAGACTCTTGGGGGCAGTGGGGACAGATAATTGGCACCAATTGGTGCTTAGGCAGAAGTTAGGGATGGACTATCTCCTATCTTGAATTTGACATTTTTAAGATATCCTTCTGGCATGATGAAAGATTTCATCATCTTTCCATCACTGAGCCTGAGGGATTACCCAAGATGAGCCCCTCTCTTCAGAGGAGGAGAGACAGCCCAGAATAAGATTAAAAGAATCATTTTTGCCTCCAGCGCCCTCTAACATGAATATCCATATAAAAATACTCTACCATAGAGCTCCATCACTTGAGTTTCTTCCTCATTGTTGACATTTTTTATATAAAAAACAAGATATTCACTATAGACGGCTTCAACAATTTGAAATGTATTGTATCCATCATCTGCGCGGGGGGGAAAAGAACACAACTCAGAACTTCTGTAGTGCATAGGAAGCAAGTGAAATTCTTACATATTCTCTTTCACAGAGTATGTTTTCCATTTGCATCTTCCTAGGCTTCATCTGGTGACTTCTAAGTATGGAACTGAGAAGCAGTAGTACATTGATTGCTAGTGGTAAAAAAATTCAGCCATAACTGCAACTTACCTTCTATTAAGCTCATGTAGTTCCCTAGGCCAGTGGTCAGCAAACTGCGGCTCTCGAGCCACATGCGGCTCTCGAGCCACATGCGGCTCTTTGGCCTTTTGAGTTTTTAGAAAGGCCAGCTTAGAAGTACCCTCATTAAGTTAATAACAATGTACCTACCTATATAGTTTAAGTTTTAATAATTTGGCTCTCAAAAGAAATTTCAATCGTTGTACTGTTGATATTTGGCTCTGTTGACTAATGAGTTTGCCATATCTACCATAGGCCATAGGCCATCTCTACCAACTAGCTCCCTCGGCCATCTCTGCCAACTATGTCTCTCTGTCTATAAACTCATTGGCATTATATACGCAGCACTGTGTGCGAGCAATTTGCTGTTAGTGTCCACCAAAAATCAAGTGGGCAGAGAATGAAAAGCTATCAGAAAAATTTATTTTTTGTGTGGACCTATTTTCTTTTGTTATAGGTGGTGCATGTGACCAAATTGACATCTTTTTCTGGTGATATTATGTACCATATTGGCTTTTACACACCAGGTTCTTCCAAATTGAGGATATTGGCTATTAAGTGCCCCCATTTACATTACCTAAATAAGCATCAATCAAGAATTAATCAAGATGTGAATGATATTGGGATTTAGTAAATTTCTTGCAATTAAAAGTAGAATTTACAAACACTTAATATATACTTACATTTAATCTTATATACATCCTTCTCTTCTGTTTTGTCAGCAACGAGAGGAAATTTAATACACTCTCCATTGACCCTGTAAAACAGAATGAGCTGATGTCCAAGAGATATTGATGGGTCTGGCTCCCTCACATTCCACCTGTGACTTGAGTGTCTGATTACAATTAACTGTAGAACATTTTAGTACAAATTTGAAACAGCTTTTATTTACTTTATTTACTACTACTGATGTCACTATTACTCTACCACCACTTCATACTATTATTATTATCACTAGGGGCCCATCATGAATTCCTGTACCTTGAAAGAAACTGTGGGACGTGAGGCTGTGGTAGGCACAGGGGTGGGTCTCAGTCTATCCTCTGAGTCCCTGCCCAGCCCCTCCTGAGATAGCCCCCAGTCCCCTCTCTGCCAACAGCCCCACTCCTGCCAGCCCTGCTCACACCCACTAATGGCACAGAGCAACAGCGGGTGCAAGGGGGGCCAGCTTTGTCAGCGGGTGCTAGTGGCTGCTGCTGCTCCCATCACCCCTCAGGAGCAGGGGGAAGTGGAGAAACCCTCAGGGCTGGCAGCCATCGCTTGCACCCGTTAACTACACCAAGCGATCAGGCCGGCGCTGGGCACTGGCAGCGGGTGTGAGCAGTGGCTCTGGTACCATCAGTGAGTGCAAGCGGGGCTGGCACCTGCAGCAGGTGCAAGTATCAGGCAGGACTGTGGCATGAGAGAACAAGGAATTTTCAGTAACCACCAGAGGCTTGCCCCAATGACAGTGACCGGTGCCCCGCCTTGGACTGGCACCCCTGCTCACCTATTCCAACATCCTGCCACAGCCAGAGTCTGCCATATTCTGTGCTCTGTCATGTGCTGCTGACACTTGCCAATTTCCATTCCACCCCCTGATGGTCAGTGCACATCATAGGGAATGGTTGTTTAGTTGTTCTGCTGTTCAGTCTATTTGCATATTAGGGTTTTATATATATAGCTAGCTACTTGCCTAGATAATCAGTTGGGTTCTCAGATGTGCCAGCTTCTCAGATAAGTACTCAATAAACATTATTTCACAAAAAAAGAAATCCATGAGAAAGAATTATTCTCATCTTCTTATACCCAAGGAAAATTGGGGTGGAAAGATATAAAATTAATGGGTCACGCAACTAGTAAGAGATCATTTCAAGAGATAGCTAGGCTGTTGACTCCCAATCCTGTGTGTGTGTGTGTGTGTGTGTGTGTGTGTGTGTGTGTAGATCCAAGACAACAGTTAGGCTTCTGGGGTTTTTTCCCCAAGTAAAAATAAGCCATACTTACTTCTTAAGATATATAAATGACAAGGAAGAGTTGTCCAAGACTTGAATGAATTCCACAAAAATTCTCATGCTACCATTTTCTTCTATAATTTCCTTCATGTCTGAGGCCAAGAGAATGGAATACCACTTCCCTGAAATCTTAAATAAAAAAATAAATAAATAAATAAATAAAACAACATTAAAATGGGTAAGAAAAGTAGAGTGGGGATACCACATAAACATCTATATCCTTGAACTCTGGCCTGTGGGCCGGGACTCATAGTGGTGAAATGGAGGTGGAATTAGAACCCAGGTCAATTGACTTCACATGAAAAGCTCCTTTCACTGACCTCCAATGAGAATGGAGGTCCCTAAGTGTTATCATCTTTCCACATCTTATGACTACTTTTTGTCCAAAGTCAGAAACCACCCCCTTTGTCCAATATGTCAAAAAACCTCTTACCCTCCAGTAGGGCCATCTTGCTTCAGAATCCCCCAAACCAACCCCAAAATCAGAAGACCCTATGGTCCCCCAACTCTACCTTTGACATATCGAAGTTGCTTGTCACAACATCATGGTTTCCTTCATGATGGGCACAGACCAGAGTCAGCCCCAGACACATCAGCAGAAGTTTCATCTTGGGAGAGACGACACTCAATCAGCTACAGGCACTTGGAATAAGTCTTTCCCTGATGGCGCCTCCACTTCCCAGATCCTCTGTCGTTATATTCATTCTGGGTTCAGTTTTTTTTTCTTTTGTTTGTTTTTGTTTTTGTCCATGAGGCAATACCTTTTCTCCTCCCACTTCAGGAATGGTCTGTATTCATTGATGTGAAGCCAAGATTGTTTCTGTCAATCTCATCTCTATTAGATCTACTTAGTGGCCTGAAATTGATCAAAAGGAACACTAAAAAAAATTTTTTTAAATGATGGACGTTATAAAAGGCTGCCTTTTGAACCCCAAGTTAACTGTGAAATCAGAAAGCTAATTATGTGTGTCAGACATGGAGTAGAACTGGGAAATAGAATGTGTGGATAATCCATGTTCTACCACTCACATGGTAAGTTACACCATTTTAACTAGCCTCAGAAGCAAAGAAACTATCACTACTAAAGATGATAAGACCACTCAAGCTGTGGATTGAAGGGCCTGGGCTTGATTCCAGTCACAGGTACCTGTCTAGGTTGCTGGCTTGACCCCAGTAGGGGGCGTGCAGGAGGCAGCCAATCAATGGTTCTCTTTCATCATTGATGTTTCTATCCCTCTCTCCCTCTTCCTTCCTCTCTGAAATCAATAAAAAATATATTTAAAACTAACTAAATAAAGATGATAGGACCATCACAAAGCATTCCAGATTAGAATGGGATTGGATAAAATCATGTCTTGAAAGTATGGTGTCTGTACTGAGCACATTTTAATTCCTTTTCCTTATTGTCTGAATTCAACCATGATGAATGAACAAATGTTTAATCACTCCATATAGCTGATCCCATAAGAGAAACGGAGAAGTACAAGATGGCATCCTTTCTTCAAACAACTTTAAATGAAGGTGGGGAAATGCTTTATATGCTCAAGAAAAACTTCATTCTACAAGCATATGAACTAATCCAACAGTGTGCAACCAAGTCCAGACCAGCATGGGTCAGAAAAAGGGGTGATGCTGGGGAAGTGACATTATGGAGAAAAATGCTTAAGAACATAGGCTTTGGAGTCATGTACCAGGTTTCATTCCTATTGCTGTCATTTGGAAACCATGAGGACAAATTTAACATCTCGGAGCTTTAGTGTCCTCTTGATGAGGATAATTGTACCTGTCAATAGATTGTTATGGGGATTCAATGGGATGGTGTATGTAGAACCCTCAAACTAATGGGCTGGTGGAATCAGAAAATTATTCTTGGTAAAGTGGGTTTTGGGAGAAGTCTTAAAGGTCTGGCAGGTGTGGAGATGTGGAAAGCATGTGGGAAGGGGATTCTTGGTGAGAGGAATGTTGTGATTTGGGTTCCTGCGAGCTGTGGAGTGAAGGGCTCCACATGCTTCAATGGGTTTGGTTAAGAGCTAAGGCTCATTCCTGGCTTGTGCTAATAGTTCCCTTTAGCACCCCCTAAAACAGAAAGAGGCCAGTGTCATGGGAGGACTGAGCACAAAGCAGAGAGTGTAGGAACTGTGGCATTCTACCTGTGGCCTGTTTTCCAAAGTGATCCCTATGTCATGCTGAACCAACATCCAATCACTGGTATTTTGATGTTCATATAAATTTAGGCACCATGGATGAGCTGTAGACTGTCCTGCTGCTAATATAGAGGAACTGAGCTTGATGAATTGTGATAAAGGTTGTGCGCTTCATTTTGTCTAGTTGACTCTCTCCAATAATTGATAGTATCCTGTGATCAACCAGGTTTGCAAGATGAACTGGGCTACAAAGCTAAGAGGAGAGTCAGCAACAGTGCTGACCCACCATCTGTATCCCATCCCTCCACCCTCCTAACTCTGTACCCAAATCAGAGCACCATATTGCAACTGTATGTTTCTGGGTATGCCACTGTGTGCCCCAAGAGAAAACCAGAAATGAAGGCATATGCCACAAAATTTTTCTGTTTTTTTAGTTCTTTTTTTGTGTGTGTTTGTGTGTGTGTGTGCACGCGCGTGTGTGTGTGTGTGTGTGTGTTTAAATCTTTTTATTGATTTCAGAGAGGAAGGGAGAAGGAGAGATAGAAATATCAATGATGAGAGAGACTCATTGATCAGCTGCCTCCTACAGGCCCCCTACTGACCTCAACCCAGTCATGTGCCCTTGACCAGAATCAAACCCGAGACCCTCAGTCAGCAGGCAGATGCTCTATTCACTGAGCCAAACCAGCTAGGGCTTGCCTGGGGCTTTGAGTGGCACAGTAAAAGGGAGGGATCACAAGGACACAATGGAAACTACAGAGGACCATGAGTAAGCTCATTATCCTGACCATGGTGGTGGTTTCATGGGCATCTCTCTGTAAAAACTTGTCAAATTTCAGACTTCAACTATTTTTAACCCTCACCTAAGGATAAGTTTGTATTGATTTTTAGATAGAGAGAAAAGGAGGTGGAGGACATCGCTGTTGCCTTATGCACCTTGACCAGGGATCGAACCCGCAACCTAGGTATGTGCCCCAACTGAGAACCAACCCCCCCCACACACACACCTCTAGGTGTATGGGATGATGCTCCAACCAACAGAGCCACCCAGCCAGGGCTCAAATTTTATGCTTTAAATTTGTGCAGTTAATTGTCAATTATACCTCAAGAAAACTATTGTTAACAATAGGAAATAAGTTTGCAGTTAGCATTTGTACATGGAACCTCTGAATTTTATAAACATGATTTTTACTTCTGATATTGATATTAATCGGTGAAATGCCTATCTTTGGAAGACAGAACTGATGACTTCCGGCCGTGCCCTGATACACAGGCCTCAGAGAAGAAGCTGGGCTGAGGCTCTGGGCTGTTATGGGATGTGCTGCTTTCTAAGTTCCTAAAGGCATTGGAGTTGGCTGGCTGAGAGTAAAGAATCCACACACTTCTTGCTGGATACTGGTTGACCAGCAGACCAACCAGTGGAGGTGGGGAAAGGAAGGTGGGGAAAGAGCACTACACAACATGGGGAATTTCCACTGGCCAAAGCAGATCACAGGGCTGTCCTGTGGAGGTCAGGGAATCTACTGATGAAATCAACAGCACAGAGTGCCTATGTCCTAGCACTCAGCACTGTTTCGGGTGTTGACTATTGCAGTGGACAAAAATCAGTTCTTTGACTTCATTGCACTTACCTTCGACCAAGCTAATCCAGGCTGTGAACAAACCTGTATGAGAGGCCAGTCAGGGAAGGTGGGGAAAGAGCACTACTTAATGCTTGAGTTCAGAGTCCTCTGTGTCAGGGGACACACAAGGACCAGAATGTCATCAGGGGACAGGCCATGCAGATGTCTGAGTGTGAAGTATTTCATACAAATGGTCCAGAGACAGGAGTGCTGCTGGGTGTCTGAGGAAAATTGTGTGCATAACAATTTAGATTTAACAGAAACCTGGAAAACTAAAGGCAGTGGTGTGAATCCTGGCAACCGGTGTAAGGACAGAAAAAAAAAAAAAGAAAAAAAGGCCTTTCCCCCTCTCCCCCCTTTGCTATTGCTTTCCACAGTTTATGAGAAGCACCTGTAATTAAAACCGAAGATCAAACAGCCTGAATCAAACAGCCCCTCTGTTCAAACTGCAAGACAAGATAAGCTACTCTCAAGGTCACATTCTTGCATGCCTTTCTTCCCTGCTGTTTTTAGAACTCAGGGATAATTCACACCAAAAAGTCTCTAATTAATAGAAAGTTCCCTTCCCTTCTCCCCTTAGAACTCTTTGTAATTTCTGCTCTAAGCATGATTCACAGCCTTGGGAAACATACAGATAAGACACTTCCCTAGACATCTGCAGGGTTGTCTCCTGTAAAACAAACAAACAAACAAACAACAAAAAAAAAAACTGTAACTTTTCAACACAGCTCCTAAGATCTGCTCAACTTCAGCCCAAAATCCCCCTCTCTTGTTGCTTATCATCTTAAAAGAGCAGGCCATCATTTGTTTCTTGCCCTGTATCGATTGGCAATACTTGGACCTCTCCCTTCGTGGAAAGTAAAGTGAACTTCTTATCTATATCAGTCTCTTCTCTCAGTTATGAATTCTCTCACAGCCTCCATCACTGGCCAAACCCTTCCAAGCAGGTCCTCATGGTCAGTGGGGCTTCCCAGGACTTTTGCCTGGGGCAGGCTCTTCTCATCAAGTTAACTCTCCAGTGGGCTCTGTCTTTTCTTACCAAGAGGTCAACCAGCAATCTGTCATCCTAATAACCAAGCTGAGCCATCATACACATTTTGTAAGCAACAGAACAATGTTTCAGAAGAGCTAACTTTTAAGAACAATCAACCATTGGTGTCTTGACAAGCAGGAACAAACAGTTCCAACTAAAGTCTGTCCTGAGACCAGAGAATTAGATGACAAAGTCCCCTGAGCTAGAACAGGAGATCTGGATTCTTCATTGTTGCTCTTGGAACCCCAAATAACCCCACGGTATACCTATTTGATATTGACTCTGGAAGTTTATTTGACATTTATCTGCATTTCCTCTATTCAGCTTTAAGTCATTCAAGAGGAGCGGTAAGAGAACAACTTAAAAATACCTCCTGATCCCATGATTTGTTAATGTAATGCCCATTTTATTGAAGGCACTCTGGGGGGTTTGTTTTGACAAAAATTTGCATTTGGGGGTCAGTGCAAAAATATAGCAAATAGTAGTCAGGGGAGAGGCCATGGCACAGACAAGGGACTAGCAAACTTTTTCTCTGAAGGACCAAATGGGAAACATTTTAGGTCTTGCAGGTCAAGTGGCAAAAATGAAGATATTGTGTTGGTACTAATATAATAATAGAGAAAACACATGGCCAAATTTTTAATGAAATTTTAAATTAAATATTTAGTATAACTTGTTTCGAAAATACAGATCTATTAGTGAGAAGAATGGATTCTTTTTTTTAAATAAAATTTTTGAAAATCTGCTTCATTGGGCTTGAAAACAGTATTCCTAATATTGCATTGATTGCAAATGTCTTGACTCACAAGCAATATAAAAACAGGCAGTGGGCAGGATTTGGCCTATGGTTCCATACCAACATCTGGTATAGAAAACACGGTTT